ATTGGTGCTTTTATGTGGGTCTTCCTGGTGCGGGAGAATCCCTGTGGGATCCGTGCTGGGAAGGGCACCCCGGGAGAAGGTGGGAGAGTGTTTAATTATGGCCAGGTAAGCTGGGCTCACCTCAGAACCTCCTGACAAGCTGTAACATCTGCAATTTCTCCTCCCTAGGTTATGCTTGCCGCAGTTTCTCCACCTCCACTGCTCTTCAGGGTAAGCCTAAAGCTTTTGGACGTCAGTTTGCTTTCCTGTTTTCTGAAACCCACTGATAAAGTGTTTCCATTTGTTTCCAGATAGGACACATGTTAGCTGCGATATCAAAGGAGATGTTGCTGTTATACGTTTCAACGAACCAAATTCCAAGGTACGTTTTTGTTGGCTGGCATTAACAGGCACCCCAGAGGAAACGGCTGAGAAGGCAATGAAAATTCCTGGTGTGAGACCAAGAACTTCCCTAACCTCCTGCCTGTCAGGTTGGAAAAGTAGAAATTTAAGAACGATCATTAAGGTATATAATAAAGGAACATACTGGGAAGGGCCCAGTGGAAATATTCTGTGTGTAGCAAATTAACCTGCCTCTCACCAGCACGATATGTCATTAAGTTCTGCGTTCAAAATGGTTCAGGAGAGTGTGTGTTCTGTGCAACTTTGGAGCTCGTAGGACCTGTCTCTATTTACCATGTGTGTTTGCTGCCTGCAGGTGAACACTCTATCCCGACAACTGCACGCAGAGTTTGCTGATGTAATGAATGAAGTCTGGGCCAATGACTCTGTCAAAAGTGCCGTCCTCATCTCGTCGAAGCCGGGCTCCTTTATTGCTGGAGCAGATCTCAAGTAAGTTCGGGTGGTGGTAGGAATTCTGCGGATGATTTTCAGGGGAAGCTCCGGCATCTGCAGCAAAGGGCCAGCTGGGAATTCTGAGCCTTTGTCCCTGACCTCTCCGCAGGGGCGAGGTGGGGAATGGGAATGAAATCCATGTGCACGGGATGTGTGGCTCGCTTGGATGAAGTTAGGGCCGTGGCTCCGTGTTATCCCCGTTCGCTTCCAGCCCGGGAAGGTTCCTCCCGTGAGCACTGTGTTTTCCTCAGGGATGCAGCGGGATCAGATCATTTCCATGCAGGGCCTCGCTGAGGCTGGTTCTTGGGCGCGTGGCCGCGTGCCAGCGCGGCCCCTCGGCGAGGCAGCCCTGGCTCTGTGCCATGGGCAGCGTTTGAGCAGCTCCCGGAGCGCCAGCGCTGCCCGTCCCGCGCTGGAAACGACACAACGGTTGTTTAAAGACATCAGAAGCCGGGAAACGCTATGCAGAGAAGGCAAATTATGTATCAGCCTTTCAAAAACTTGATACCTTTTAGTCCAGCCTTAATCAGGAGCAGGAACTCGATCCTTCCCGTGGCGGGCAGGAGGCAGTAGCCGTAGGGCAGAAGCGCAGGCTGCGTTGAAGGGGTTTTGGGGCTGCTGAGTTGTGCCTGCCTGGCAAGCACTGCTGGCCCCTGGGAGAGAAACTGGCTCCTTAACTGGCAGAGCCCAAGGTCAGAGCGTGGCCATCTGCATCTCTAAAACATGATCCTGCTCTCTCCTGCCACCCCCCGGCAAGTGCTTTGAGGCTCCCTGTGATCCTTCCTTCTCTCCCCAAAAGGCTTTCAGAGCCCTGGCACAAGGAAACCCATTCAGTGCCTGCAGGCACCATCCGGTGTCGGCATGCGGTGACTTAACCCGCTGATTTCAGTCGTCTTCCTGTGCTGTCCATTAATCTAAATCTGTGGGGCTAAAGAGCTCTTGCCTGTCAGTCACTGGAGCTTTGTGGGAAGAAGGGGATAAAACCCTTGAAACGCTCTCATATTGCTGTTTCCTTGGTGCTTTCCCCGTTCTGATCAGCCTTTCTGCCTCCCTGCAGCATGATTCAAGCCTGCAAGACTGCTCAGGAAGTGACTCAGCTCTCTCAGGACGGCCAGAAGCTGCTGGACAAACTGGAGCGCTCTCCAAAGCCCATAGTTGCTGCCATCAACGGCACCTGCCTGGGAGGAGGCCTGGAGGTACGGGACAGTTTGGGTTCTGCCAAGCTGCCAACCCTGGTTCTCAAAACTCACCCTCAGGATTATTCCAAAGGGGAGCGAGAAGGATCTCACGTGGATTCTGTGTGTTCATTCAAACACATTTGTGGCAAACTAATGGTTTGGTTGTGCTTCAGGCTCTGCCAGGCATTTTTTTTTTCTGCTGCTGTTGAAAGAGAGCTAATGAAATACAACTACGTGTGTGCCAGGCTAATATTTAAATGAGGGCACTCCTGGGAAAAGAAGCTGTTTCCAGCAGGCTTTGGAGCTAGATGAATGCTGAATCCGGGCTGGAAATAGCTTCTTTTCATTGGAAATAAGCCCTGCATCCCAGCAACTTCTATTCTTCTCACGGTTCCTGTGAGAAGGGCGAGTGTGGGGAGCCTGGTCAGCCTCCAGCCTGGCCCACATTCCCTCTCCTTTGCCACTTCAGCCAAGTGCAGTATCTGCTTCGTAATTTCCATTTAGGATTATGCACTCTTAAGTAGCTAATCTTCTCATCTCTGCCCAGTGTATTGGTGAGCAGAGGGCAGGCTTTGTGATTATTCCTGCAGCAAAGTTTTACTAAAACGGAACAACTCTGCTTCTGGGAACGGAGTCTCATCGTCTGTGCGCTGATTTCCAGAGCAATTCCAGCTTTTTGGAGGTCTGTGCTCAGTGATGCAGCGGCAGCCTGAGCATCGTGACTGATCTGATAATTGGGACTGTGTCCTGCCTGGTGAATGAAACTAGGGCAGGCTGTGGAAGGGGCTTTGTGGGGGGTACCCGGCTCTTCTGTGCTCTCAAAGAGAAATCTTCAGTCATTTTCTCTTCCCTTTTAAGGTTGCAATTGCCTGTCAATACAGGATAGCAACAAAGGAGAAGAGAACAGTGTTGGGCTCGCCTGAAGTGCTACTGGGGATCCTGCCAGGGGCAGGAGCCACTCAGAGGCTGCCAAAGATGGTAAGTAGGAGAAAAGGCTTAATGTCCCCCTCTCTTTCACGGCGTGATCCCACGCTAAAAACACCTTTCTGCCCTTCCAGGTGGGAATTCCT